CTTCCTGCTCTCTGCCTACCCCGACTTCTCCGTCATTTTGAGAAGCCCTAACCTCGTGGCTCACATATGTGTCAACTTGGTCCTATCACCTCCTATTCCAAGCATATTCCAAGCTTACCTAGCTCCTTATTCCAAGCTTACCTACCTATCAAAATAAGATTGTGATTTTTTTCTAATTGGGCTTTACTGAAGCCCTGGGTGGGAGAGAGTAATTCCAAAGTACTAGGAAAAGGAAAAAAAAGTTTACTAAACATGGCTTTTTCCATAGTCTAAATAAAAGGTATTGAACATGAGATATATTCATATAAAGCCCTGAACTTAGGAAGGGGAAAACAGCAACTACAGACAGTACACACACACACACACACACACACACACACACACACACCACATTCAAACATCCTTTCTTGCACGCACACTCAGAAGGAAAGGAGCTTTCTCTCTCATTGAGAACCACTGATGATATCAGCACAGGGCTTTGGAAGAAAGGAAACTTACATTCTACATCTGGAACCTCAGGGATGTTCTATTCCCTCAATGGCCAAGGGTTATGGAAGTCTGATGGACCTTACTCCCCATGTTCCATACATCCTCCTCTTACCTGTTTTGTACCCATGGATTTTTTTTTTTAATCCATAAGCCCCACTGGCAAACTCTACTGAGAACAAAGAATACACGAACCTTTGGTTTCACTGGAGGTACATGTTCCTGAGAAGTTGCACGTAAATTAAATTTTTGCAGATCAATTAGGATTCCCCACTGACTTTCCTGTAAGATTTCTGAGCTGCTCTCTCTGCATCCAGATCGATTTTCAATGTACGCCTAACACTTTAAGTTTCTCATCTGGAAAATAAAGACCAAGGAAACATTAAGATCTCTTCTAGTTACAGTAGTGCAAGATCTAGTACATTTACAGGCAAATAAACCTGTAACTATATCATAGAGGCTGCTATTTGGAAAAGACACTAGATTTTACCATTTGCGATGCAAATACTCATCCTACATCCAACTTTTGGGGAGATTGTTTCCAAGGGCTTGAGGAGGGTTTGCCCTACTCCCTTGGAGTGGTAGCAGATGTTTCAGATGACTGGTGTTTTAGTTTTAGGTGGTTTGTATTATCCCTTCTGCTCTCCACTTCCTCTACCCTACTCCCTGGTATCAAATTCCAGAGACTGTTTCTACTGAAATAAAGACTGGTGCTGTGGTTTGGGGACCAGCATATGTAGCTGGTGACCTAGGGTAGAAGGCACTTGCTAAGTAAAGATGAAATGAGTTGCTAGGGAGGCACCATGGCTTTGGTCTGTGGCAACAGAGTTAAGCGAGGGCACGTGTGTCACGAGTTTGTGGTGCTGGTCAGGCAGCTGCCTTTGCAGTCTTTGAACTGGAACCAGAGATATTATTAATTCCTATATGAATGAGAATTGCCTGCTTAGTGGTGAGGAAAATTAATAGTCCAAGCGTTCTTCCGTCTTGCATTCTCCATGCTGGCATTTAAAGAAATTTTGCTGCAGCTGTTTGCATATTCTGGAACTATGTGTGCATGTGTGTGGTTTGGTGTTTAGAGATTTGGGGCAGCAGAGGGGAGTTTCCAGACAGCGGAAGTAGCTGCTTGTCAGTCAGGGTTCATTTTGAAAATGAAAGCCTGAAAGCCTGGGGCCTGGGTCTGGGTCTGAGGAATCAGCGAAAGAAAGGAGGTGGCTTTGAGCGGTGGCTCAGTGAGGAAACCACTTAATCACTGTTTTCTCTCTTTTTGATGAATTAACCAAATCTGTGAGTTGTTTTTGCAGATATATTCTGGAGTAGGGATGCACTCACCACCCAACATACACCCACACAGTCACATTTTCCCAGGCTGCCAAACCAGAACACAGTAACAAGGTACTTAGTAGATGCATAAGGATAGTGTGACATAGTTGTCCAAGAATATATAGTTTAACTGGCATGTCAGATAAAGGACAGAGAAATGTAACAAAAGAAAGTCTATCCTGGGTGCCAAAGGAGTCGTAGAAACAGAGGGCTGAGGTAGGAGAGGGATTGCTCTGGGCTGGGACAATCAGAGGAGACTTGCTAGAGAAGGTGGCAACTGAAGCCAAGCTTGACAGGGGAACTTTACTGGACAGAAGCTGTGAGAATAGGAACTCCAGGTAGAGGAGTAACAAGAACAAAGTAACAGATATAAAACTAGCATATCAAAGTTATAGATATGCTCAGGTTATAACAAGTCCACCTGCTTGGCTAGAATTTGGGGCTTGTGTGAGTGATTTGCAGTTGATAAGCCTGGCTTGAATGCTAGTCCTGTGCCAGAACAAAGACTATGGTGTCACACAGACCTGCTCTGCCACTTCCTGCTGAGTGACCTTGAGCAAGTGACCTATTTCTAGGCAAACTGGGGATAGTAATGACACTTAACTCCAAAGGTCATTCATTGGGAAGATTAAAAGAGTTAATATATAAGGCCCATTGTGGCCGCTAACACCTGTAACCCTACCACTCTGGGGTTGGGTGGATCACTTAAGCTCAGGAGTTAGAGACCAGCTTGAGCAAGAGCAAGACCCCTCTCCAATCTCTATTAAAAATAGAAAAATTAGCCAGGTGTGCTGAGTACCTATAATTTCAGCTCCTTGGGAGGCTGAGACAGGAGGATCACTTGAGCCCAGGAGTTGGAGGTTGCAGTGAGCTAGGCTGAGGCCATGGTACTCTAGCCTGGGAGACAGAGTGAGACTATCTCAACAACAACAAAAAAGTGCTAACATATAAAGCATCTAACACAGTCTCTGAAACATAGCAAATGTATGAAAATGAATTACAAATGCATAAGCTGTCATGAAGGAAAGCTCAAGATATGTATTTATTTATTTATTTAGACAGAGTCTCACTCTGTTGCCCCAGACTAGACTGGCATCATGACTCACAGCTACCTCAAACTCCTAGGCTCAAGCAATCTTCTTACCTCAGCCTCCCAAGTAGCTGAGACTACAAGCTTGGGGCACCAAGACTGGCTAATTTTTCTATTTTTTGTAGTAGAGACAGACTCTCGCTCTTGCTCAGGCTAGTCCCGAACTCCTGAGCTCAATCAATCCACCAGCCTCAGCCTCCCAGAGTGCTAGGATTACAGGTATGAGCCATCACCCTGGCCAAGGGCTCCTCTTCAATATGTCAGAGCCAAGGAGGAAAAGCCTCTGACACGTTTCACACTGGTGCCACAGGTGGGCCCAGGGGAATGGGCTGGCTTGGCCTGAACTCCCATTCCCCTTGGCCTAGACTGCTGGAATAGTCTCCTGGTTTCCTTACTCTGCCTCTCCCAGAATCATCATCCTAGCACAACCTTAATCATGACTGTGACCCTCCCTAGCTCAAGAATCTTCTATGGCTCCATCTTGCCCATTGACTGAACTTTTTTTTTTTTTGATACAGAGTCTCACTATGTTGCCCTGGGTAGAGTGCTCTGGTGTCACAGCTCACAGCAACCTCAACTCCTGGGCTTAGGCGATTCTCTTGCCTCAGCTTCCCAAGTAGCTGGGACTACAGTTGCCCACCACAACACCTGGCTATTTGTTGTTGTTGTTGCAATTGTCATTGTTGTTTAGCAGGCCCAGGCTGGGTTAGAACCCACTAGCCCCAGTGTATGTGGTTGGTGCCCTAACTACTGAGCTATGGGAGCCAAGCCCTGACTGAACTTGTTTTTTCTTCTTTGAGACAGAGTCTCACTATGTCGCGCTCAGTAGAGTGCCATAGCGTCATAGCTCACAGCAACCTCAAACTCTTGGGGTCAAGCGATTCTCCTGTCTCAGCCTCCCAAGCTGGACTACAGGCTCCCACCACAACACCCGGCTATTTTTTGTTGCAGTTGTCAACCTGCCAGTCTTGGTGTATGCGGCTGGGGCCATAACCACTGTGCTATGGGCGCCCCTGACTGAACTTCTTGACATGGTGGGAGAGGGGAGGCAAGAACTACAATTTATTAAGGGAAGGAAAGAGCAAAAAGGACGCTGGTGTTAGGAATTAAAAAGACAAAATACTCTCCTTTTAAAAAAAAAAGCCCTCAAGCTCTGAATTTGCAGACAGCAGGTTCTTCAGGGAGAGAACAGGGATGCAAATCTGAAGGGGCAGGGGGTTCCCTCAGAGTAAGTTCAGATTTATGCATAGCTGTTTCTTCAAGCCAACCTGGGAGAGTTAAGGAGGAGGGGAGAAGAGGGTGGACAGAGGCACTGGTAGCCGCGGGACAGAAAAGGAATACCCCTTTTCGGTGCCCTGGAAGACCTTCTGCCCCGACCCCGGTCTCTGCAGGAATCCCGGGCAGCCCCAGGCGCAGAGGGGAGGGTCAAGGTGGCATAAAGAGCAGGGTAGACGAGCCAGAGTCACATGGGACAGCAGAGCCGCCTTCGCGAATGCTAGGACAAAGGCGGCTCCAGGACAAAGTGCAGGGAGACTTCTGAAGAGATAAGGAAGGACGAAGGAAGGGGGCGGGGAGTCTGCGCCCCGCGCGGGGATCGCTCTTCGCGGCGCGGGCGGCGAGCCCAGCTCAGCACGCCGAGGAGGGGGCGCACTAGAGCCTCTTCACCCCAGCAGCTGCTGAGATGCTGAGAACAACCGGGGCTTCCAGAGCAGCAGGCCGCCTCCCGGCCCGCCCCGGTGACCGCCCCTGGGCTGTCGGGGCGGTACCGGAGGCGGGGCTGCCGGGCTCACCTGGCCGTTTGGGGCGGGGCTGCCCGCGACCCGGGGAAGCTGCAGTGGCCGCTGTACCCCGGGCGCTGGAGCGCGGCTTGCCCTAGGGACTTGGCCTGGAGCTCCCACCGCTCCACGCCCCCCGCCACCGCCCGCGCGGGGGCCCTCCCCTAGCTCCCTCCCTCCCTCCTCCTCTCCTTTGCTCCCTCCCTCCGAACCCAATTGCTCAAGCCGCTTCCTTCCCCAACTCCAGCGCCAGTTCCTCCCCGGTGGGGCCCAGGAAAGCAACGAACACTAGACAGCGGAACCGCGGCGGCGGCGGCAGCTCCAAGACCATGGCCCAGCTTCGAGGGACCGCGAACCCGGCACCCAAGACCTATCTCGCGCCAACCGCGCTGAGCCTGAGGAGCGCCCCGCTGCCCCGCCCCTCGAGAGCGGACATCGGTAGCCTGGGCGGGTACCGGGGCAACGCCGCCACCGCCACCTCCCGGGAGCCCCCCTCCCAAAGCGCACTGATGCTTTCGGGGCGCCGGCGAGGAGCTCTGCGGGAGTTGCTGGGGCTGCAGGGGGCGGCTCCTGCCAGATGGCTGTTGGAGGAGCGCGGCGAGGAGCAGTCCCCGGGCGGGCCGGGCGGACCCAGCGGACCAGGCGGATCCAGCGGCAGCGGACTGTGCCTGGAGCCGCGGGAGCACGCGTGGATTCTGGCGGCTGCCGAGGGCCGCTTTGATGTGCTGCAGGAGCTGCTGGAGGCTGATCCCGGGCTCCTGCTGCGGAGCGACCCAATCACGGGCTACACAGTGCTGCACTGGCTGGCCAAGCACGGGCGCCACGAAGAGCTCATTTTGGTGCATGATTTCGCCCAGCGCCGGGGGCTGCAGCTCGACGTGAGCGTCTCGGGAAGCGGCGGCTTCACGCCTCTCCACCTAGCGGCTCTGCAGGGCCACGACATGGTCATCAAGGTGCTGGTGGGCGCCCTGGGTGCCGACCCCACGCGCCGAGACCACAGCGGCAACCGACCCTGCCGCTACCTGCGGCCGGGCGCGTCCCAGAGTCTGCGGGAGCTGTCAGGGGCCGAGGACCCCGAAACCGCGAGCCGCAGCAAGCGCAAGAACGCCAACAACAACTGCAGCGGCACCGCTGCGTGGACGCTCAAACGGATCCCGAGCGCGGCTGGCGCGAAGACCGGGAAGACAAACACAAGAGCAGCAGGGCCGGCAGCCGAGGAGAAGGACGCCACGGGCAATCGCGGGTCGCATATTCAAGGCCTTTTCCGCCAGCTGTTCCCTTTCTTCCAGGACCGTTGAGGGCAACGGAGACTGGAGAGCTCAGAGGTCGCGACTCTGCTGCGTGGCCTCAGCCCTTGGTTGTCCCGGGTTTCACCCAAAGAGAGGCGCCTTAGATGCAGCTTGCGCCTGCAAGGAGCAGACCACGTCGGGGCCCAACTCAGGTACCTGTCCCAGGTCTCCTGCCAGGACTTTGGGACTAGGGCATCCCCTAACCTAGAGAGCCCGCCAAAGACCAATCTGGTCTGGCATCTAACCCCAAAGCTGCTATACGACTAAGTAGTTAGGAGCCGGGAGCGCGGTCCTGCTTGAGAGAGGGAAAGTTATAGCTTCCAGTAGCCATTTCTGGGTAGGTGGAAAAGCTGGGTTTATTAGTAAATATTCTCTAGAAGAATTACTGTGAACCAACGACGCAGAGGAAATGCCTAAAACTCTGCTTGCCTGACTCGGTCTTTGACGGGTCTTGTGGGGCAGGTAGTGTCAGCCCTTGGCAACCTGTTCCTGAGACCACCAGGCCTTACCCGTACCTTTCCAAATGTAGCACAGATGACTTCTTAAGTTTATTAAAGTGGAATATGTTTTCTATTCACATGAATCGTTTAGTGCCTGTTTTTTTCTTATTAACCACAGAGGAAGAAGCTGTGTATGTTTGCAGGGAAGAGGTCACTAACCCACAGCCAAGAGCTAGGAATCCAGGGCAGGCTCTGGGCCTCATTCTCAGAGCAAATGGCCAGAGCTGTGCACTGAAGTTACTACTGCCACCTTGGCTGGAAGGAGAGACACACAGTTCACCTGGCTCAGGAACTCTCTGGCAGCTAGGTCTGGCCTTGGGCACCAGTTTCATCCTAGAGGGATTGTCATATAGGTGAAGGGCCCGAGGGTGGAAAAAGGGGGAAATCTTCTAATTTACATTTCCGATGTTTCATGGTGAGTCATGTAATTTACCTTGACTTGTGCCCTCTAATAAGACACGCCTACTGGTACTTTTTTCCAAGATAGAGCTTTCCTTATTAGCATTAAGTTTAATACATAAGTTGTAGTTTGGAAAATTGACCCCATTCAGAAATAACACGAGTTAAATAGAATACAGGAGGTTAACTCAGCCTGAAAGGAAGCAAAACCAACTGATGGCTAGAGACCCATGCTGCCTTGGAGAAAAAGTGCATTTAAAAAAATAGTATTGTGGGGCAGCGCCTGTGGCTCAAAGGAGTAGGGCACCAGCCCCATATGCCGGAGGTGGCAGGTTCAAATCCAGCC